CCTGAAAAAGGGATCCGTTTCTTCTCTGAAAAGGTCAGTTTGGCATCCAGCCCATTCATGTTCAGGTTAGAATTTGTTGCCATTTAGTCTAGCACTGTCAAATTCTTCTGTAAATAATTGGGAGATACGCAATGTGAAGTTTGAAAGCATAAAAGTGGCAGACACTGTTCTGATGCCAGGCACATTAATATTCTTCTCTACATTTCACACAACATATGAGTTAATTTGTTAGTTTATTCTTGTCACCAGGTTAGTCATCATCCGATGGTCATGGCATGCCATTGTGAAGGGAAAGGTTGGAAATTTTGGGGTGACAGCAATCTAAAGAGCAAATTTTGGGGGCAGTCCATTCAACTCGATCCTAGCGGTGTGCTAACTCTACAGTTTGATGATGGAGAAACTTTCCAGTGGAGTAAGGTACAAATTCTTCACTGGAGGCAAAACTCTTATGCATATTTTCTCTCCATTTTTTCCATTATGTTTGTGCATGCTTGGTCTAGAGATCTGGAGAAGGTGTTGGATATCCTTTTGTCAATAAACACCTATCATTTATTTATTTTGCCATGGCAGGTTACGACAACAATTAATAACCTTATCATTGGCCGAGTCTATTGCCATCACCATGGCACGATGAACATAAGTGGAAACAGGCAATATTCATGTAAGCTGACTTTCAAAGAGCAATCCTTCCTCGATCGTAATCCTCGCCAGGTATGATGAACAATTTTCCATCCAGGTTCTTGTTTCTTTCATCTTCCTGTAGAGGTTACTAAAATGTATGGTCGTATGAAAGGTTCAAGGACTTGTTACGGATGCTAATGGGACCAAAGTTGCATTCTTGATGGGAAAGTGGGACGAGAGCATGTCTTGCATCATTGGTGATGATGCTTCTAAAGTGAACTCCCGTAATGCAAATCAGAGTACGGGTGCCACTTTATTGTGGGAGAAAAATGTGCCTCCAGCCAATCCCACTCGATATAACCTGTCATCATTTGCAATCACTTTGAACGAGTTGACACCAGGTCTTAAGGTATGCGCAAAGCATATAATTCGCCTATTGTTAGTTTTTTGTAGTGCAAAGCCTAACGTACTATTTGATGATTTGTTAAGGAGAAGCTTCCACCAACGGATTCAAGACTCAGGCCAGATCAGCGGCATCTAGAGAATGGGGAGTACGAAAAGGCTAACTCTGAAAAATTGCGCCTGGAGACGAGGCAGAGGATGGTAAGTATTCTTGTTCTAAAAATTTCCTTAATTTTTTTTATCACAGTTTTTAAATTCTTACCTGCTTCACTGTACTCGTACATCGAACTACACTGAATTTTATGGTCTTTTATCACTGCACTTTTATATATGTCCACCATCTGATGGGAGTGAATCACTGCCCCGGAGAATCTTGATTCTCGTTACAAAGTGCAGCCAGAACACCTATTTCCTTCATGGAAAAATGCAGTTATTATCTGCTCTAACTGCAGCGGTTATCTCTTCCTCTACAGGCAAGGAAGATGCAGGAGAGTGGTTGGAAGCCAAGATGGTTCCAAAGGGACACAGAGGATGGAACATTCCGTTATGTCGGAGGTTACTGGGAGGCAAGGGAGCAGAGGAAATGGGTTGGTTGCAATGACATATTCGGCAATAATGTGTCCACTCTTTGCACCAGCGCAAGTATATAGAGAAACTTCTGTTTAGTAGTCGTTGACACCCCATTAATTATTGAAGACGGTACATAGTTGATCGGCTGCTCCCGTTGCTACCATGCAAACAAGAGCTAACATGCTCTCCTCTTGTCATATAGAAACACTGGGACATTTATGTGGATACTGGGATACTTAACTGTGAGGCCTGCTAGCTAACAATGTTGTTATTACTCTCAGTGATATCCATTTTTTCAATCTTTGTACTGTTCCACAGAGATACTGAGTTATATACTTGGTTCCTAATTGTAATTGATCATGTAAGCTTCTATGCTCATGGTCATGGATAATGGACGTTCATCTTTCTTTTTTGACCTCTGTGCCAAGCCAGGCGAGTAATCTTGTCCTGTATAGAAATGCCAAATTAATATATTCAATTTCCTGTTACGATTTACGAATATCAAAATGCTCAGATTAATTAAGATGCTAATACATTGATATTTACGGGTTTTTTTCTTCATGCTTAATATAGACGGGATCGTGTGTCGGGGATGGATCCAACATCAAGCTAGAGGGGTTTATCTTCCTTATCCAGCCATCCCTACCCTTCTTCCTCCTCTTCTTATTACACAAATCGATATAACAGAATATGTAATAACTCTTTGCTCCCTCTTAGGAAAATCTTAAGTAAATTAAAGGACTTATGCAATACTAATCTACTTCGTATAGCACATCTCACAACACTAGTCCAAACTATTAATATGTTTTAAAACTTATAAATATTTTTATAAATTACACTATATTTTATATATTATTGTCGTGATCTCTGGACACGGACAAAGTTGGAGGATAGACGGGAAAGTACGAATTCTCGTCTATCCTGAGAGTGAGCTCAAAAGACAAATGCCAAAAGTGAGTAAAAGTATTTTTCTCTACTGATATGCTCCTTGTTAAAGGATCTTGGTTGGTTTAAATAGTGCTCAGCCGTGTACTCAAGATTTACAAGTTTGCCATTGCAGGATTATATGAAGTTATCATATTACCCTTAGGGGCATATTGGTACATTTCAGTCGTCTCGACATCTAGTGCCAGCTGGTGAGAGCAATTGAGGTGGTCCCCATAACACTTCCCTAAAATATATTATTTGTTCGATGGTACTTTCCCTTAACTTTGATTGCCCGAGTTGAACACCCGTGCTTGGACTCGAACAAGCTCTCCCACCTTTTGGCTCCTCGTCACTTCATTTGCTTTAGCCAATGAACCTGCTCAAATACAATGTCACTAGTGATGTTAGGTCAAGCCAAGCAAACTTACTCGAACACATTTTCCTTGGAACAAGCGCTCTTAGGCAAATGCAAATTCCTGGTCAGAAGCTGATGCAGATGGGAATTTTATTCGAGCAAATAGTCGCTCGAATCCAATTTCCTCGCTACCCATGTTTTCGGCCGAGCATGGGGATGGTGTTCAGCCCCGCTACAACAATTATAATATTAATTAGACATTTATTTATTTGTTTGTATTAGAAATTTAGGTGGTTTTCATGTTCCTAGGAATATTTGTCTCTATATTAGTGTCCGGTCGTATTCTATCTTTATTTCTATTCGAGATAACTTTTATTTGTTTTCGTATCTGAGCTATCCGTATTTGTTTTTTATATCCGATAAAAATACGAAAACAAATATGAGATATGCGTATTATTCGTCCTCATCCGCTCCATTTTCATCAGTATCCAATGTGCCCTCGCTGCTACCGTTGCTTAGCTAGTTCATCTAGGCTGCTTTCGTTTGTGACGGTTGGGAACATTCCCCTCCGGCACGAAAAACAAAGCAGTTCATTAGCGCATGATTAATTAAGTATTAGTTAAAAAACTTGAAAATGGATTAATTTGATTTTTAAATCATCTTTTCTATAATTTTTTTTAAAAAAATAGACAGACTGTTTATTTGTTTAAAAAATATGTACGCAGAAAACGAAAGAGGGGAGCAGGAACTCTAAGGGCCGTTTTGGTTTGATACCAAAAACACACCCTACCAATTTATTGGCAAATTGAATAGTATGTGTGTTATTTTGGATTGAAGCCAAATATTTGGTAGTTCCCTTATACTATTTGGTCATTTTCTAGAAGTTTCTTCACTGTACTATGAGAATTTGACTTTATATTGGTAGCAATCCAAATGGTAGCCAAATAATTTTACCCTACCAATATTTTGGTAGTGCCAAATTTTGCCTAGACTTTGGCACTACCAATAAATTGGTAGGGTAGAGAACCAAACAAGCCCTAAGAAACGGAATCAGCCCTAATCAATCATATCTTCCTTTCTCGTGGGGCCTCTAATCATCTTCCTTTGGGATAGTGGTTGAGCAGCGGTTATCATGTAGTCGAGTCAGGTTAGGCCAAATCACACGTCGACCTTTGCGTACGTGTTGGGCCTCACCTGTGATGGACTGGGCCATGCTCAGCTTTCATTTGGGCCGCCTCGATCGGCTACTTTGGTTTAGCTGAGCCGGTCAAGTGGGTTCGGGGTTTTCTTCTCCGAACCCTTAAATTTTTGGGTTTGTTGGAACCATGCCACCCTAATTTTGTAAAATTTGAGATATGCCACCCGTATCTCAATGACATGTAGGACCCACATGAGTCAATGACATGTGGGTCAGGGTGACATATCACAAATTTTATAAAATTTATGTGGCATGGTTCAAATTTTCTCTAAATTTTTCTCTTCTTTCGTTGGCAGCATGCAGATGAGCTGCCGATCCAGCCACCTTGGAGGCTTCCAGACAGTTCGATCGAGCCGCCCTTAATTAGCTCATGAACCTCTCGTAACAATATTTATTAATGCCACTAAAACTGATCGATATATGATCTCTTTGCCTTTTGCTTGCTTTAATTCCAAGTGCCTCGTGATCTTCGTGATACTTACAAGAAGATCGATGAGGTGTGATCTTCCACTTCGCTTCCCGTGTTCCTCGTAATGCATGGTATGAGGCGTGGTATATTTATAAATGAAAAATAATTTATAAATAAAATTTTTATATACGTGTTCTAGCTATCTAAAAGTACAGGCTGAAAAATAAACTTCGTTGAAAAAAAAACTAAAATCAACTATAAATTTAAAGTTAAAAATTTAAATTTTAACTGATGAGGCCGGAGGATCGAGAGGATGATGATGAGTACTGGAGAGAGCACTACGTCCATCGATCGAGATCGCTTGCTTGCCATTGCATGGCGTCGTCGCCGGTCGATCGAACAAATGGACCAATCAAACATAAAGAGCAGCAGCTAACACTGTTCCATATCAAAGGAAATCATGACCCACTGATTCAATCAATTTATGTGGAGTATACAGTACACACACATTTCTCATATGAACAAAAACTTTTTTGTGTTTAATTTATTGATCAGATTGAGAGGTGCGCCCGCACCTCGCATATGCAGGAATTTCCTCCTGCCCTGCACACTATCAGTATAAAAGACGTATAAACATATACATCAGTAATACACTTTGTGGCAAATTATACATTGCCGTATAAATCTCCCCCTTCCCTACGTACGTATATATCTTCCTTCTACATACACCCCACGTACGTACACATTAATTAACTCCACGTAGTTATTACGTAGTTGGTTAATTAATTAATTATACGTGCGATGAGAATACACCCAAATTATACCCGGCGAAATACGTCGAATACAATACACGAAGAAGAAGAAGAAGAAGAAGAAGAAGAAGAAGAAGAAGAAGAAGAAAAATTCAAAATACAAGAAAAGAAAAAACCAAAGTTATTACAAGGACGACGTACATACACGACGCGTGCAGCTAACTGGTAGCTAGCTTGCGTATGTCATGCTGACGCATCGATCGGTCACTATTAGTGGCCGACGGCGATGGTCTCCTCGTCGGCGAGCTCGATGCCGGCGTCGGCGAGGCGCTTCTCCTTGTAGACGTACCCCCTGGCGGCGACGGTGAAGAGGACGAGGTTGATGGCGCTGATGACGGCGAGCAGCCAGTAGAAGTAGTCGAGCCTGCCGTCGTCGAGGTTGTCGGCGAGCCAGCCGCCGCCGCGGGCGCCATGGCCGGTGACCTTGTGGACGATGGTGACGAGCAGCGTGCTGAAGAAGAAGCCGATGGCGCAGGTGCTGAGGAAGAGGCCCGTGCTCATGGTCTTCATCCCCTTGGGGCACTCGCGGAGGAAGAAGTCGAGCTGGCCCATGTAGGTGAACGCCTCGCCGGCGCCGACGAGGAGGAACTGCGGCATGAGGAGGAACACCGTGGGCGCGGCGGCGGCGGCGGAGGCGGAGGCGGTGGCGCGGTGGCGCTCGACGGCCGCGGCGACGGCCATGCCGGCGATGGAGAGGGAGAGGCCCACGAAGACGCGCTGGAGCGGGGTGAGGCCGTGCGGGTTGGCCGTGGCGCGGCGCGCGACGGGGACGACGAGGCGGTCGTAGAAGGGGACGGTGAGGAGGATGGAGGCGATGAGGAAGACGGTGAGGGAGCCCGCCGGGATGAGGAAGCCGCCGGCGAGGCGGCGGTCCATGAGCTCGGCCTGCGCGACGGCGAAGGTGGTCATCTGGGCGTGGATGGTCCAGAACATGATGGTGGTCGCCCAGATGGGGAGCATCCGCACCACCTGCTTCACCTCCTCCACGTCCGTCCTCGTGCACAGCCTCCACTTGCTCGCCGTCGCCGGCGACTCCGCCGCCGACCTGTCGATGATCGCCGCATGGTCCAGGAACCTGCACCCATATTACAAACCAAACACGTCAATGATTATTACCTTGGTGGTTCTAACGGTCAAAAATAAGTAATTTTCTTGTGGTGTTTCTTGGCAGCCAAAGTAAGATATATTCTTATCGGTCCAAACCGACAAAGTTATAAAGTTCGTAATATTTTTAATTTGCTTAGTGGTCCGACTAACAAAAAAATATTCTCTTATGGTTAGCAGCCAACAAATATGAATATCCCTAGACGGCCGATAGAATAATGAATTTTGGCGGTTTTCATGTTATACTTGATGGTTTTTGACCACCAAAAAATTACGGATTATTGTAGTGCTACTTCAGATCATCAGGTGACATCAACTAGATTATAGATTATTCTCATCTTGTCATGTTATTTTTCCAAAGGCAGAAATGGATGAATCAAATATTAAAAACCTAAAAAATGCATTTAAATTTTGAGATGAGTTAGAATTGTGTTAGCTAAGATAAACCACACAATGTTTATTCATGGATGCGGATTCTTCGACTTAAGTTACTTAATTTTGAGTCGCTGACATATAAATTTACTTTGCTACAGTCTCATACATTAGTGATCTAACAGTTTTTTTTTCTTTTGCGGGAAGATCTAATAGTCACTGGACTTAAGTAAGAGGAAGGTATAGTAGGCGCGTGCAAACAAGGGAGCAGCCATGCGCACGTAGCAGCGCGGTAGCTACCGCCACTGCAAGATCCAAGTCTTTGTAGCGGCCGGTGTGTCGTACGTACGTTGCATCACGCAGACGCAAAGAGCTAGATGAGGGTTTTTTTTTGCGGGAAGAGCTAGATGAGTTGAGATAGGCAAGAGGGAGAAGTTCCAAGCAGCTGATCAATCACACGCACACGGGCGTGCGTGCGTATGCAGCGCCGCGTCGCATGTGATATTTGTCACGCGAGATGCTGCCGCGACCCGTGACCAAGGCAGGTTCAGGGCTCTGCTAGTTTCCACTGGAGAAAGGAGGAATTTGTTGGGAGAATAGCTGAAGCTATCGGTCACTGGGTCGCGGCACATGCAAATGCATCTTCGTGTTTGTACATGTACTGGCTAATAAGCCACTGTGTTATGTACGCATGGGATGTCACTATGTGGAGGAGGAGGTGCTACCTCGCCCAGTGCTCATCTTCACTTAGCAACTCCTACTCTGCTTTGGTTTTGATTCTGTGTGACTCGTCCATCGTATCATGCTAGAATCAATCTTGCCTCTACCGACTTTGTTAATGTTCAGGGTCAAAGGGCCTTTGCTTTCTGCACGTACTCCACTTTAATTTACTTATGGGCATGTGTATGTCGACTCTAGCTATATACCTGGCAGATGGCTGCGACCATACGTCGTTGGGACTGGGCTACTTATTAGGCTTCCTAAAAATAACTTGATTTGACCTACCTTAATGGTTTAGATATCTAGTAGTGCTGGTCCAAGTATATACACACCTACAGGCTTGCGAGACCGTATATCTATCTGTCTATATATGACAGTGAGTGGCTGGAGTGGTTTCAGCTGTCAAAATGAAGATGATTTTCTTAAGAGGGGTGTGGTTGCAAATGTCACAGCAACGGGCCAAACAGTGCGTGCCTCCAATCATGAACTCCCTGAATATACTCGCTCCATCTCGTAACATAGCAATCTAATACATGATGAAATATATTCTAATACTATAAATCTGAACACATTCGTAGTAATAGTATATGTCTCGTTCTCTACTCCTAGCTACTACTAAGTTGTTATGGGATGGAGGTAGAATATATATTATGAATTTAATTTAATTTCATTCATTTTCCTACAACCTGGCTTGCTATATATGCTAAATTAAAACTGACTACTAGTAGCACTATTACTAGATTTGTGTCAATGCGTGGCCCACATGAATGATGCATATGCATCTTGATCCTATATATAACTCGTTCAAATTAATTTCATCAAAATTCATCTGAACTTACCGGCTAGTTTTGTGTTGGGGTAATAATGTAAAAAAACTTTATCTGAATACTAAAGATGCAGAGTGGGTGGTGAACTTACCGGCACTCCTTGCTGTGTGGCATCCTCTGCTTGCCCTTGACGTCATGGCCGGCGGCGGCGGCGTCGTCGACGTCGTAGAGCATGTCTGGGTCGGACGGCAGCGGCAGCGACCTCTTGCTCCAGGCGGCGGCGGTGACGGCGGCGACCTGGGTGAGGGGGCTCCCCACCAGCTTCTTGAACCTGTACCTCCTGGTCCCGGAGAGGAACACGGCGAGGCCGGCGAGGATGCCGGCGGCGCAGATGCCGTACCCCCACCGGCGTCCGACGTTGTCCTGCACGTACACCAGCACGGTGACGGCGAGCAGCGCGCCGAGGCTGACGAAGAAGTAGAACCAGTTGAAGAAGCGCATCATCTTCTTCCTCTCGCCGTCGACGTCGGACTCGTCGAACTGGTCGGAGCCGAAGCCGGAGACGCTGGACTTGAGCCCCCCCGTGCCCAGCGCCGTCAGGTAGAGCCCCAGGTAGAGCACCCCGAGCTGCGTCCCGTCCGCCGCCACGCACTCCGCGCTCGCCCCCTTCGGGTCGCCGCACGCCGGCGGCCGCAGCCCCGGCGCCGCCGTGGAGATCGTGAGTATCATCACGCCGGTGGCCTGGACGGCCTCGAAGATGGCGATGGTGAGGTAGCGGCCGAGGTAGGTGTCGGCGACGAAGCCGCCGAGGAGGCAGAGCATGAAGGAGGTGCCGATGAAGTTGGTGACCGTGTTGGCGGCGGCGGCATTGCCGAGGTGCATCGTCCCGGTCATGTACGGCACCAGGTTGACGGCGATGCCCAGCGTCGTCATCCGCTCGAACAGCTCCGCCCCGAGGATCATCGCCGCGCAGCCCCACCCGCCGGTGGCCGCCCTCCCCGCCGGCCTCCCCTTGTAGTCCCACGCGTCCGTCAGCGCCTTCCCCTCCGCCGCCGTCTCCGGCAACACCATCGCCATATCAACAACAACAAGCTCGAGCTCGAGACAGAGAGAGTAAGACGGCGGCGGCGGTGGTGGTGGTGGTGGCCGGCGGCGATGGATGCTGTGATGAAGCCACCGTGTCCGAGTGGTGGCCTTATATAGGCGGAGAGGGGGGTGGTGCATCGGGATTCGTGCACTGGGGGGTAATTATAGGTGTGATTGATTAATTAAGGGAGTAATTAATTAAGAGAAATAGTATCAAGTGGTGTTATGTGGGGGAATCAGTATCTCCTCCAATTTTCTAATTCTTTCTCCCATGACTCTGGCACTCGTTAATTTAATCGCTCTCGAGCAATTATTGAGTACGACTCGTTAATTGGTAGGATTAGTGGAGGATCAAATGCTGGATTAGGATTTACTACTTCTCCAGGATTTTCTTGACTAATTACAACACATGTGTGTGTTTGGTCAGAAAGTTGAGATGATGGCAGTTTCCCACAATGGACGGTTACAACGTTAATCTCAACTACCACAGTTTACACACTTGGAAAATTTGGAGAATACTTGTGGACAAACTGGATTTTGCAGTCAAGAGACGTTCTGAAACTAGGAGCAGATACAATTTTGATGGAACACAAGTGATCTTGACTACTGTGTATCAAGATATATAATTTTTTGACTGAAACTTTTTATGTGCAGGGAACAGTGTGTGGTATGATCAATGTGTGCTGCCCATTCTCTGAGGCTGTGATGTTTAGTAATTAGTAGTAGCATCTTGCAAAAAAGGTGAAGTGTTTGTAGGGAAAAGAGATGCGTGTGAATCTGAAAGATACTACTAACCCGCTTGGAGAAAAATATTCACTACATCAGATTCTGATTTGTCGTGTAACTAGGAGCCTCACAATTAGGTTCTCATGCATTTCAGCTTTTAGATCATTAATTTTGTTTTGATCATCCTCGTAAGTACATTAGTTCAGTTAAAACCACTGCCCGATCGATATATATTTGAAACTGGAAGGGCCCAAAATATGACAAAAATTCAGATTCAGATGAACAGATTAATTAGTCGGTAGCAACAACAATTTGAACCTGCATCTTTCTACCTCGCATTGAACGTATAGTGGTACTACGACGAGTGTACGGCCGGAGTATATTGAGAAGTATTTTCTTGAGATGAAGACACGAACAGAAATTCAGACTCAGACGATGCCCTTGTTTAGTTCCAAACTTTTTCTTTAAATTTACAGTTTTTTCATCACATCAAAACTTTCCTACGCACACAAACTTCTAACTTTTCCATCATATCATTTCAATTTCAACCAAACTTCTAATTTTAGCGCGAATTATACACACCCATCAATGTCGATTTCTCTGAGGGACAGCATCAGCTAGGCATGCAGCAAGCTATAGCTCTCTCATACAGCGACATGCGTTGACGTTAGCAGCTTTGTTGTGAAGCTGTGTATGATCAGCTCAATCGACTCCACCGTGGATGACTCTGAACCTGCCTCTCCTTATCTCTTTCCTGCTCCCTGCCTGTGATGTGCCGACCTAGCTAGTACAGTAGTACTAGCTGTTTGGCTCTTGAGCTGTTTTACAGCTCTCTCCTTTAGTTGTCTTACTAATATAGAGTTAAGGGGGCATGATTAAATTTAAGCAATTGATTAAGAGGTAAGTTTTGGCTCCATGTAAATATATAGCTAATTAACGAGGAAACCAGCTAAGCTAATCAAAATACCTTTCTATATCTAATTAATAACACTTTGGATTAGGATCCTCCGACGTAAAGTTAGAGGAACATGATCGCTGACATATGGATCCCACCATCGACGGATCCACATATCAGTGACCATGTCATTTGGAAAGTTTTGTCAGAGGATTTTTCTCCTAACACCTCATATGTTTCATGACTCGGAAGTTCAATGTGTGTATGAACCAAATCTCATACGGTGTGATATGAAAGTTCTATGAGACAAATTTGATAAAAATAAACGTGTGCTAGAACACACCCACATGTACACGTACGAGTGTGGTGCGTACATCCAACTTGTACTCGAAAAAAAAAGTCTACATCATTATTTGCATTTTTCACTCTTAAATTATTGAATGAAAGTCTTCTTTTGGAAATGGACAAAGAATGTCAACTTCCTAGAGTAAAAAAGATGGAATTAATTGTATTATAATTCCTATCCTTTCAAATCTAATTTATTTCAAATCTATCAGTATGAAAATTGGTGTCAAGTATAGAAGCAATAGGATTGTCTCTTACCCCCTTCAAGGTAAGATTCATGACAGTCGTCCCTCGTCAGATCAAAATAAATCAACAGTCCATTAGTCCTCATACAATGTGATCTACCTAAAAAAATCCTTAGTTTGTGGCTAACTTCCCCAAAACTAAGATAAAGGATAATTCGTAAAAACATTTAGTCATGAATTGTCCATTTCTACATTTTTTTTACAAACAAACATCTGCATGTCCATTTCTACAATTTTTACTAGTTAGTTCAGAAGTAAACTAAACTGTCTTGGATAAGATCTGTCACCCTCTTTGATTCAAAGGAGCAAAGCTCCAAGTCAGCTGCTTGTGCTGAATTTTCATGCATGGCTCCACACAGTCTCTCTCAGATTCTTTGCAGATTCCACTCAATATTGTCTCACATGCATATAGATGTAAACATGATTTTACTCTACAATTTGGAGGGGCCTAGCTCAGAATACAGACACCAGAGCAGATCATGTTGGAGGACTTTATATGCTGGTCGATATGCTCGATCAGGTGCAGGCTATCCAGACAGGCAGCCTGCCAGAGTGTCTGTGGATCACCTCACTGATTGAGCTTGCATTTTGCCGCTAGCTGCCTATGACCCATACTGCCTTAATTACACTTACATTGATAAAAACGTATGAGCACGTGTGAGAATTTCACAGCAATGACGTGCAGTGCATGTAGTACTAACTCTGTCCCGTAATAAGTTTATTTTTAAGCTTCCTTCTTCATTTGTTCCCAAAAAAATTCATTTCTAAAGTAATCATTACATCAAAGTTTGTGAAATTGTAGAATGATTATACTGGGAGTATATAAAGTGAACAATACTTACATTGGGATTCGATAAAATAGTGGTATTATAATTTTTTTTGTATTTATATGTGTATGATAAGTAAAAAATAAACTTATTTTAAGACGGAGGTAGTATATCAGTGGCGAAGCCACCACCCATCGACCGATCAGGCTCGTCAATAGAATTTTGATGTTAATATATAGTGATTGAAAATAACTTTTTCATACCAAATTAATACTTAACATAGTTTTATCTGGGCCCTAAAAATTTTCTGAATTTGCCACTGATTTAAACGAGTGGTAGCCAAAATTAGTTGCTAGCTGAAACTATATAAGCTGCTAATCAACTACTCTAGCTACTGATCACATGCTTGAATAGAAGGTAGATCCAGGAACATTTCACAGGTCCCCACAATAATAATATCATGTAACTGCTACCTATAGGACGATACTTCTGCCTACTGAACCGTGAACTTTTGAGCTTAATCGATGATGAGGAGTTTTAATTTACAGAAGGAAAATTCATAGGTCCCCACAATAATATCATGTTTGTTGGAAAAATTCACCTTTTTCTCGGTAGTCATCAATTCCAACTATCAGTTTCATTGGTATACATGGCGTTGACGACAAAACAAGGAGTTGACACTGTACATTTTGACGACAGATCAGCATCACTTGAAAAATGCACTTAAATTCAGATGTAAGTCGTCCCAACATAAAAATATTTTCTACCACTCCTTCCCATTGCTGCGTGCCTGACCGATTCTGCCGATGATTCTTCAACAGGACAAAATTTTAAGTTCTGAAAACGTCACACATTCACATTATTACTGAATATTTTTGTGCTTGTATATACAAATATATACAATAATACGAATACATATTCGAGTACGTAATTCTCAACACCTCTTCGAGATCCGTCAGGGTGCTCGCAGATTCGAGTTTCTCTCCCAGGGTAAATGCATCTTCGAGTTCTCTAGGGCTGTTTGCGACTTCGAGTTTAAATTTTTCTGTCGGAATTTATGTTGACATTTTCGAGCTCCGTCAGCTTGATTGACCACTATTTAATTCGTTTACATGTTCGAGTTTCTCTCTCAGGGTGCTCGCATTGTCGAGTTCCAGCCCCCCGGATTGTATCAAATGTTTATTATATATTAAGCAATTGGCAAATTGTAAGGTAGAACTGACAATACATCTGGCCAATGTGATGCAAATTGCAAAATTTTAAAAATTAATGTAATGCAAATTGGTGTTGTCTCATATAGCCTCATGCAAATTGGAGTAGTTTGCTGACTGCCGAGAGTTCAATAATTGCGTGCGTAAAGGTGTCCATTCTCTCAATTTACTCCAACATCCCCATGTATATAACTATATGGAAGGTGGATTTTCATTCCTCGGGGATATTGATTTCCTTGTTTTATGCATGTCACACAAAAAGACATAAAAAAAATGAAAAAAATGATAACATAGATCAATTAATGTGTGATATATTACTTTACAAACATGTAAATTCAAATTTAACTTATATAGATAAAAATAAAAACAACAAATTTGACTATAAATAGTATGTACTATTTGCACTAAAATTTGTTATTTTCATTTCTAATTGTGTAGGTTGAATTTGAATTTGCATATTTGAGGAATAACGTGTCTCATATTGATCTATCATTTTTTTATGAATATTTAAATGACATGCAAAAATGAGGAAAACCCCCTTAAGAGATGAAAAGAGTTTCCCAGTTCTTGTGTCAGTGTTCAATCCAAGTAATGCTTTATTTTTCTTCCCGAAAAAGAAACTAATATAAGAACCACGTCATTTTTCTTCAGCCATAAAGAAGTATTACTGTATTAGTAATAGTGTAAAACCTATACTAAGACAAACCGATGGAATCAGTCACTGTCTAATCCTTGTATGATCATACCACAGCAATTGTCAGCAGCCTGAATTTTTCTAACAGCAGAAACCAATGCATGCATATTGTCCTGCAATACAGACAACACAAGAAACCAAGTGCCAATAGAATCCATGGCCAGCAGTTGAGCACTTGGAAGTTGGAATAACGAGGGTATACTAGAATAT